ATCCCACTCTGCCTGCTTCCCCCTGGGCTCTGAATTCCCAAGGAACAGCAAACACCAGAAATTCCATGCTCAGAAGCTGCTTCTCCCTCCTTGGAGCATCTCCTCTACATCAGAGCTCTGGTGGGAGGATGGAGGGAGGCACGGAGCAGAGCAAGAAGTGCCTGGATGGATGAGAAGAGCGGAGCAGAGAGGGGGAAGATGGAATTTGGGCAAGGAGGGATTGCCCCTGTCCCAGGCTGCAGCAAAAGCAGCTTTGCCCATGCCCCCACCTCAGGTGTGGCACCTCTCAGGGCAGGGATGGCTGAGCTCTTTCACAGTTCCCCCCTGCCCTCTAGTGGGTTTAGAGGAGCTGGGGGAGAGGAGAAGCCCTGGAGTGCTCCTTCCTCCTGCTCTCCCTGCAGAACCAGCTGCTCTGGCAGGGAAACAGCTCCAGAGCACTGGGGAGGAGCTGGGGAGCTCAGAGGTTCTGCCAGTGCTGAGGGAATGGATGGGGAGCACTGACCCTGACCTCTCCTCCCAAAGGGAAATGGGCTGATGTGAGAGAACCTCCTGAGCCCCCAGCTTTGCATTTCCTTCTGTGCCAGGAGTACTCCTGATGTTCCCCACACCTTAATGCCCACCTCAGGGACACTGCCAGCTGGCAGAGCATCTTGTTCCCTGCACCAAACCCCTCTCGGCAGAGACTGAGCCCTGGAGCTGCAAGAATTGACAAAGAGCAAAAGCCTCTTCTGCCATTGCACAAACAGGGACAGCTCTCACTGTCACAGCTGTCCTCTGGGACTTCTGGCCACAGGGGCAGGGCACATCTCCCCAGAGCGATGCCTCAAGTTCTGGCTTTCGTATTTCCCAGGTTCTGTACTGAATGTACAGAATTAATAACTCTGAACTCCATATGAAGTGTCAGCCAGTTCTCCTCACAGCTCAGGCACACACAACAATCCTTTTCCAGCCCCACAACCAAGGACACCACTGCAGCTCCAGCCCCAAAAAGCACAACCAGCAGCGAATGGAGGAGAGCAATCTGGGAGGATGGGACTGCATCACCTGCAGCTGGAATGGGACAATGAACCCCAATGTGGAAATGGACCAAAACTGATCAAAGTGTGAAAACTCATAACCTCCATCCTGGGTGTAGCCTTGGCCAGGCTCTTGCAGTGCCCAAGGTGCATCCTTTGAAGATTTTTTAATAAATCCTTTTTCCTTTTAACTCTGTCCAGCCCCTGTTCCAGGCAGCCTCTGGAGGCACCAGAGCTCTGTGAGATGGTGGCATTAACCTGGCTCCAGGTTCCTGTGAGCCACCTCCTGACCCTGTCCCATCCCCTCTGTGCTGCAGGACGTGCCCCTGAACCCCCTCCATCCCCAGGAACCCTCCTGTGCTTCCCTCCCGATGCTGAAATTGGTGAATCTGGGTTTCTACAGACATCTAGTGGCTTGTGCTCGAACTCCACCTTCCCTGCCACAGCAGAACCACGGCGTGTCCCAGGGCTGGGCTTCCACATCCTCACAACAAACCTGGAGACCCCAAGGAGCTGCCAATTAAATAAAGAAATAAATAAAGAATAAAGAAACCCCTCAAATCCCATCCTACCCTGCTCTGCTCTCCCAGCACAAAAATGATTTCAGATTAACTCTGGGCATTTTTCAGAGCTCAGAGCCTGTGTGATGCGCATCAGTTTCAGCCTTAATTTGTGTTTCTACATCTCCAATTTGAAATGAGGATAACCTGGCTCCACCCAGCATACTCAATCTTATTTCAGAATTATTTCCAGGGGAAAATGTGATGGGGGAAGGAGATGGCAATGACTGAGGGTTCACACCTGTTTAAAATCCAACACCACAGATCAGATAGCATCACCAGGAAAAACCAGAGAAATCCTCAACTTCCCCCTGTTTCGCCAAGCAAAGCAAAAATCCCACTTGAAGAACCAAAATAATAATAAAAAATAATAATAAATAAAAATAAATAAAGAGCCCTGATGTATTAGGACATCACACTCTGCACCCACAGCCTGCCTTGGTTTTCTGCAGATATTTGGAGGGGTTATAATCCCAAAATAGAGCCAGCCTTCCTGCTGGAGTCAGAGGCACAGAGAGTGTGCCCTTATCTCTGATACCTGCCTCTGACATCCAAGAAAACACTGAATTTCATAAAACACCCTGAAAACAACTGTTAAATAGAAAAATTTAAAGTATAAGTGTGTAAATTAGAGAGTTTTCTTAAGTCACTGGGTGAAAAAGTTAAAGTTTGGAGTTTAAACCAGTTTAGAGAACAGAAGATGAGATGGAGGATTTAGAGTGTTGTTTCTTTTCCTTTTTTCATCTTCTTCTAGAGGTTTTTGGGTAGTAATAAGTGATTAGATGTAAAATGCCCCAGTGCAGCACACAGGTGTTGGGTCACTAAGAAAAATAATTTACTTGGCATTTATTAATTAGGTAAATGGACATAAAAACCTTGAAAATGATCTTGGTTAACCATTTTGCACTTTTCTATTTTAGTGCACATAGCTCCTTTCTATCTAAATACAAATATATCTACCTGTCTAGCAAAATACAAATATATCTACCTGTCTAGCAAAATACAAATATATCTACCTGTCTAGCAAAATACAAATATATCTACCTGTCTAGCAAAATACAAATATATCTACCTGTCTAGCAAAATACAAACATACCTGTCTAGCAAAATACAAACATACCTGTCTAGCAAAATACAAACATAAAGCAAAATACAAACATAAAGCAAAATACAAACATAAAGCAAAATACAAACATAAAGCAAAATACAAACATAAATATAAAGCAAAATACAGCCAGGTATCTCTGCATTCAGCCAAGAGAGCACACTTTATTTACAAAGGATTCTCCCTTAAAAACAGAACCTTACTACATATTCATAAATTCTCATACATATTCAAACAGTCTTCTTAAATTTTAGCTGTTCCTTTATTTAGTTTTTACCTTGCCCCTCCTCAATAAATCAATTTTCTCAGTGCCACAGGGTTTTAGACTCTCTGATAATGGGTGCAATAAATTCCTCCCTTAGAGGGCTTGGAGGACAAGATAATTTTAAGAATTATGGGAATCTCTGATTATCTTTTCACTCTCTGGGTTATATAAACAAAAAGTAGTTTATGCTTTAATATCACATTATAACCTAATAGATATGTATTATACCATTATTTCTAAGTTTCATCAACAACAGAAATAAAAGAAACTATATTAATACAAAGTTTCCTAACCTTCTACATAGAACATTCATTTTAATATTTGCCAATAATGTAATATAATTACAAATAAACACCAAAAAAATTTTAAAAAATCTCAAACATAATGCAAAACCTCAGAGGAAGAAGCATCACAAGAACCTCACTGTTGTGACAGCAGAACTCCAGCTACAACGCAGATTTTGTACCTTTGGGGAGGATTTTACAACAGATTAAAGAAAAAAACAACTCCCTTTAGCAGCCAAGACAGGAAAGCAAGCCACTAATGTGGTTTTCAAAAATCTATTTAAATGAGCAGCTTTCTGTTATCTCAGAAATAAACACAAGTTGTCCCCCATGCCTGGTGACAAACACATCCCCTGGCAAAAGACCAAATAACTAAAGCTGAGCAGCTGAAATGCTTTTGCCCAAGCAGGATTTAGAGCAGGAGAACATGGCTTTGAAAAGAGAAATGGTGTTTCTCCCTTTTGTTTTTATGTGTGAAATGAGCTTACTTAAAATAACAGCTTAAAAAAACTTTAAAAGCCTGAAATACTTAAACCAAAATACCTAAATACACAAAATATTTAAAAATACAAAATATGGCATTTCAGGAGTGGCAGAAACCACCTGAGCACTACAGGATGGAGACAGGGATGAGCCTGCCTCACTCAAAACCTTTCAAAAACCTTCCCAGGAACTTGTGGGAAGAGGACTCCATCCAGCCTCAGCAACCCTGGACAAGCACATTTACCTACTGTGGCAGCACAGCCTTGCAATAAAAAATAGAAAAATTAATTTAAAAAAAAAAATTAAAGAAATAATAAAGAAATAAAAATAAAACCCAAAAGCTAAAACCTAAAAATTTAAAAAAATAAAAATAATAAAAAAATATTAAAAAAATTAAATTATAAAAATATACAAATAAAACCCAAAAGCTAAAACCTAAAAAAATAAAAAGACAAAAAAGAAAAAAGTAAAAAAAATTAAAAATAAAAAAATTAAATAAAATAAAAAAATAAAAAAAAAAATTACAAAATAAATAAAAATAAATTAAAAATACAAAACACATAAATAAAAATACAAAACACATAAATAAAAATACAAAACACATAAATAAAAATACAAAACACATAAATAAAAATAAATACAAAATAAATAAATATAAATAAATTAAAAATACAAAATAAATACAAAATAAATACAAAATAAATACAAAATAAATACAAAATAAATACAAAATAAATACTCAAAGTAAGTGATGGAGAGGGCTTTGCATTTCCATCCCATCAGCAGACACACTTTGCCCATTTCCAGCCTCACTATAGATTGGGAAGGGCTGGAAGAACACTCAGCTGAGGCACCACAGGGCAAGACAAGACACAGGGTGAGTTCAAAGACTCATTTCTGCAGGGGCTGCTGATGAAGAGTGCAGGAGCACAGGAGGACACCCATTCCTGCTCCTGTTCCACCCCCAGCTCTCCTGGGCTGCTCTGGCCTTCAGCTCTGCCCCCTCATCTCCCTCCACAGGGGCACAGAACAAACCTGCTGGCGATGGAAAATAGATTATTTGATTTTATGTTGGGTGGAAATGCCTGCCCTGTAGTTTTATCTCCTCAGATCAGCTCCCACAGGGGAAGAGCTTGCGCTGCCTCCCATCAGACATCGCTGAGGAGCTGGAGATGAGCTGCACAGAGCTGGCCACCAACAGCACTGCTGGACACAAAGCACACCAGGCATGGTTCCTCCTGGAGCAGGAACCCATCCACACCTGCCAGAGCCCCTCTGTGTCCTTACCTCCCACTGCAGTGACCACAGCCAGCTCCTCCTGGGTTCCTCCTGCTCTGCTCCACTCCAGCCCGGTGTATCCCAGCCAATTCCCATGGATTTGGGGCAGCAGAGCTGGCAATGCTCCCCTGGAGGTGCCAGTGTTGGGGGCACACGCCTTTCTGGCCCACGTGTGCCAGCCTGGGGCAGAGCTCTCTCAACCATCAGGGCTGATTTCTTGGGTGGTTTCCTTTCCTTTAAACGCTGTTTGATCCCTCTGTGACTGCTGGGGAGCCTCACTCGCTCTCGTGTGAGGTTTAAGGCTCGTGTTTTGCTCCCTGACTGCAGAAAAGTTTTTTCTGTAATCACAGTCCTGAAAAAAAATTTAAAAAAATTAATTTTTGTGGTGCCAAGGCCTGCAGATGGGGCAGAGCAGAGCTGCACGCTGGCCAAGGTCACAGAGGCACAGCTTTCACTGTCTCTGTGGGCAGGACTGCAGGGTTTTAGAGCCACAGTGCCCAAATCCCTCTACACTCCAGGATTTGGTGCATTATTAAGACTCCAAACCTCCTTTTGAAGCATTATCTCAGCAAGAAAAAGGGAATTAGCACAAAGCCAGGCTGCTTCCAAACACCCACAGCAAACTCGAGCTCATTCACTGCCCCAGGAATAGTAAATTGCAGTTTAAAGCAGAAAATCACACAGCCTTACCTCTCAGGCAGCCCAGCAGAACTGAACTGGCTCCTTACCCCACTGAAGTAATTTTCCCAATCAGGCTAATTAAGTTTTGCTGAGCCACACAGGTGTGGACAATGAGCAAATCAGAATTCCTCAGGCTAATTAATCCCCAGGTGTTTCAGTTCTCACACAGGTTGGGCTGTTTCTCATCAATGGATCTCAAACCTTTCTCTAGAAAGGATAAAAACTTTCTCTTATTTCTTCCCAATTAATTATGAATTTAACTACCAATTAATTATGAATTTTGATACCAAAACCTTGCCATGCAAATCCAACTCCTCTTATTTTCTCCTGCTTTTGCTGTTTTCTCAAACAACACAATCCTTTCCAAGCCTCTGATAATTTTGTTATGAATCCCTGGCCTTTTTTTGGGACAGGTTTTTGCATGCTGAGCCATGAAGGGAGCAGTGGCCCATTTCTTGGCAAGGATATCTCAGTTAAATGGGTCATCAACAGCAAAGGAAGAGCAAGGGGAGGCTGAAAACCATCCAGGTATGGAAGGATTTCTTTTCTGTGTGCTTGGGCCCTTTGCTTCCACATCTCTGTGCTGACAAACCAACCTCAAATTTCAGTTTGATACACTTCATCATATCACACTCAGCCCAGGAGATCAATGTGACAAAATCTTCCAAAGAACTGGGAAAGCTCCACTCCCTGAGGAGTTGAGTGTCACTTTATTTATCTAAAGCTCTTCAGGGATCCAGCTGGAAATGGAATTCCAGCCCTACCTGCTGAGTAGTCCCAGTAACACAATGCTGGAACAGCCACCTCCAACTCCTTTGAACTCAGCAGATGCTTATTTGGGTCGAATTCAGCTTCCCACTTTAACATTCTCAGGGCACTCTGGGTATGATTTTACCCAAGCGTGCTTTGGTGAGTTTATATCTGGTACCTGCCTCCAGCAGTCACATCTCAACAGGTCTGCAGGTTTGCATGTTTAAAGCAGGCTCTTCATTTAAACACCTTTAAAGTGCCCTTTAAACCTCCCTTCCTCAGCCCTCAAGGGCTCCATATTTCTTTTATCACAACCCCCACAGGTTGTCCTGTCCCTGTCCCCAGTAAACCTCTGCTTCCTGCCCAACCTGCCTTGGTTTCCTGTAGCTGCCTCTCCACCAAATAAAGAAGTGTTTTCTGTTTGTATCTGCTGTGCTTTTGGGCCCTGAGCTGTTTATCACCATTGCTGCTGATTTTCTCCCTTCAGGGTGCCAGAGAGGCATCCCTGGGGACAGTGAGGGACACCCAGAGCTGGAAGAAGTCTGTCACCGCAGAGATGTCTGGAATTATCTGTTCATCCCCTCCTGCACATCTCCTCCTCCTCCTCCCTGGATGCTGGAGGAGGCTTTCCCTGCCTGAGAGCATTGTGTCTTTGTCCCCATGGAAGGATGGGATTTGTCCCCGTGGAAGGATGGGATTTGTCCCCGTGGAAGGGTGGGATTTGTCCCCATGGAAGGGTGGGATTTGTCCCCATGGAAGGATGGGCCTTGTCCCCATGCAGGGATGGACCTTGCCCTTGTGGAAGGGATGGGCCTTGTCCCCATGTAGGGATGGGCCTTGTCCCCGTGGAAGGATGGGATTTGTCCCCATGGAAGGATGAGCTTTGTCCCCATGTAGGGATGGGATTTGTCCCCATGTAGGGATGGGCTTTGCCCCCATGGAAAGGATGAGCCTTGTCCCCATGTAGGGATGGGCCTTGTCCCCATGTAGGGGTGGGCTTTGCCCCCATGTAGGGATGGGATTTGTCCCCATGTAGGGATGGGATTTGTCCCCATGTAGGGGTGGGCTTTGCCCCCATGTAGGGATGGGATTTATGTAGGGATGGGATTTGTCCCCATGTAGGGGTGGGCTTTGCCCCCATGTAGGGATGGGATTTGTCCCCATGTAGGGATGGGATTTGTCCCCATGTGGGGATGGGATTTGTCCCCATGTAGGGATGAGCTTTCTCCCCCCAGCTGTGACTCACCCGCCCCAGTCCAAGAGTCAGAATGCAAACGTTGGTGCCCCAGCTGAGCCTTGGTGTCTCCAGGCTGTTTTGGAACACCCCTGTGTCACAGTGCTGCCCTACCCAGGCAGCTGAGGGGCTGTCACAGCTCCTCCTGGCATCAGCAGGACACAGGGACACTGGGATGGAGCAGTGCATGTGCCAGGGATCAGCTTTGCTCATGCCACCAGAGAACCTGCTGGAGAACCCTGCCCATGGCTGTCCAAATCCTGGGCCTCCCCTCAAACCCCTGGCTCCAGCCCCTTGGTTTCCTGCAGGGTTGATGTGTGTGGCCACACCTTTGTCCTGCTCCCCTTTGGGCTTACCTAAAAGCAGAGGCCAGATAAAATTAATGGAATAAAAAGCTGGGTATATTTATTGAAGGGCTTTCAGGTGCATTTTGGGCAAAGCACCCCCAGGGGCTACACCCAAAACAATGGACAACAGGTCATGAGTTTTCACACTTTTATAAATTTGGTCCATTTGCATATTGGGGGTTAATGTTCCAATTACACTTTAGGATAATGAAGTCATTAATCCCAAGTTTGTTCCCCCCAATTCACTTTTGTTTCCATCTCTCAGGGCCTGAGGCAGTGAGGTGTCCTTGATTGCCAGGCCTGGAGAGGAATTGTGTCTGACCAAAATGGGAAAGCAGCAGCTCACGGTGTGTGTGGACTTCAGACACTAAAGAACTGCAGGATTACAAATAAATGAAAAATATACAAGCTAAAATCCTAAGGCATCACCCTTCTGCTGAAAATGTAACTCAGGGCACACTGAGAGTCAGTTCAGACCCCAAAACACCAGGCACTGAAGGGAAACCTTTTGCATCTGCACTCCTTCCTTGCTCTGAATTGCTCCTTACTAAAAAGAAACATTTCTTAGTTTATATCCAGGCTTTTCTTTCCAGCCACTAGCACAGAAAATTTAACTTTTGACAGAGTTCAGGCCTGCTCCTCAAATCAATCAAAGTGATTGTGGCCAAATCGAACAGAAGTCCCCACATAAATCCTCCAGACCTTCAGGCTTTAAACAGGGTGCTGGGGAACTCACTAAGACGGGAAATAAAATATTTTCAATATTTACTATATTTATATATATATATAAAAAATATAATTTATATATATATAAAATATTAAATATATTATTTTATATATATTTTAATATATTATTTAAATATATATTTTAAAAATATAAAATACATCATAAATATAAAAATAAGCATAAATGCATCATAAATACAAAAATCATAAATATATATTTAAAATATATTAAAATTTAATATATATTAAATTTAATATATTTTATTTAATATTATATAATATTACATAATAATATTAAATAATAATGTATAATTATATATATTATTATATATATTATTATATATAATATTATATATGATGATCTATTATTATACATAATTATATATATTGTTATATATAATTATATATAAATTTATATATAATTATATATAATTATATATATTATATCATATATAATAATCTAATAATATAATATATTATATATTATATATTATATAAAATACTATATTATTGATAATATATTATTTAATATATAATGTAAATATAATGTATTAAAATATATTTTATATTATTTAATATAGAATATAATATTAATATAATATATTAAAATATATTTTACAAATATAAAATGCATCAATTGTAGAACAATCACATTCAGTTTCCTTGTGAATTTAAATGCAGCATTCTTCATTTATTTATTTATTCATTCATTCAGGGTCCTGCCTCAAGTGCTGAGTTTTACCTGCCCTGCCTGGCTGCAGGTTGTGTCACGGGTAGCTTTGCTTCATTTAAGGATGAAAATGCCTGTCCAGAGACACAGACAGCATTTATTAATGAATAATGAGTGTCACATTCCACACCAACCTCTTCCCACAGCTTCTGCCAGCTCAGCCCTGCTTGTCCCCTCCCCAGGCACTTCCAGAGGCTCCTGGGTGTCCCAGCAGCTTCCAGGGAGGAATGGCCAGGAGCTGCTTTCTCACCTGGCTGCAGCCATGAGAGGCAGAGGAGCTGGGAATGAAGGCATGAAAGGACAAAAAATGGGCTGGAGGTGTGTGGAAAGCGTTGCTTTGTCTTTGTTTCTCACCATCCAAACCTCTTTGAATTGGCAATAAGTTATTTTCCCTGAGCTGAGTCTGTTTTGGCAGTGAGGGTAACTGTTCTACCTGCATTTATCTCAACCATGAGCTTATTTTCTGTCTTTATTTCCCACCTCATTTTCTGTGCTGCTCAGGATGGGGACTGTAAAAAATGAGGTTCATATTTTTTATATATAAAATGTTAAAAGTTTGATAGAAAGACAATTAGGAGACAGAAATAAAGCAAAATGAACAAATACAGCCAAGTGACTCAGCATTCAGCCAAGAGCACCCCTTACTAACAAAAGATTGTCCCTTAAAAACACAAATTTATTACATATTCATCAATGCTTATGTATTATTCAAACATTCCTCTGAAGTTTTAGATGTTCTTTTGTTCAGCTTTAACTCCCCCTTCATCAACAGATTAATCTTTTTGGCTCTGTTGAGTATTACACTCCTTTATAAGAGAGGTTCAATAAATTCTTCCCTTGGAGCTCCAATCACTGCTGCCTTCATCTGGATAAAATAATCTAAAAATGCAGGGGGAGTTTCTGACTATCTTTTCAGTCTCTGGGTTATATGAACAAAAGCAGTCTTTATTTTAATACTATATTATAGCCTAACATATAAATATATATTTATATATATGTATTACACTACTATTTCTAAGTTTTATCAATACCAGAAATAGAAGAAACTATATTAATACAGCAAAGTTTTCCAACATTATACATATAACATTTGTTTTAATATTTGTGAAAAGCTAATATAATACAATATAACATAATGTAATATAATATAATATAATAAATGTAATGTACTAAATATAATGTAATATAATGTAATATAATGTAATATAATAAATATAATATAATTAATATAATAAAGTATAATTAATATACTATTTAATATTATTAATATGATTAATATTTATTATTTATTATTATTATTTATTAGTAGTATAATAATATTTATCTATAACAGAAGGATTCCCAACAGACCCTGCCCAGCAGCTCCATGTGAGCTGAGGATTTACTGGAAGTCTCACTGCCCAACTGCTCCCTTTTACACCCAGCAAGAGAACACAGAGATGCTTCACATTTCTGTCTTTAATGCACCCTTGGAGACCACAGGAAATAGCACTTTTAAAAAGTAGGTCTTCAGGGGAGGGATAGCATTTTTTTTTTTATTTTTTTTTAACAGAGGAAATCAGAAGTAAAGAATGAGATGAGGAAAAAGAGGTCAAAGAAAGACTGAATTTCCCAACCAGTTACATGACAGTTTGTGCTAGCAGGTGATTCAATGGTTCTGCACGAGGTTTTCACACCCCAGCAGCAAAAGCAAAGTGTTCAACAGTGGTAGCAGAATTACAGAGGGCACAAACCACTAGAAAACAGTTGCAAGGAAACAAAGGAGAGCAATTTGGCCACAAGAAAAAAATGTCAGTCTCCCAAAGAAGGCTGTACAAAGGAGCAGCACTTGCTGTCTAAGTGATGTTCCTGGAGAGTCAAGGGTTTAAGACAGAAACCATGAATTCCTTTTCTCTAAGCCACCTCCTTCATCCACAGAACATTTTTCTCTCTCTCTCTGGGTTCGTGGAGGGGATGAGCTCCCCCTGTCACCATTTCCACCCCCATTTCTGGTGCTGGGCACGGCCCCACCGCAGCCACTGCGGGAAGTCAGGCAGCTTCTCCCCAGCACCTTCACAGCCAGGCTTCACTGGGTGAGCTGAAACGAAAGAGCTGCTGCCAAGTGCCAATTTCAGGGTTTTTCAAAGAATTCAGTGGTTGTTTGAGCTCTGCCTTCCACCCCAAAGCCCCTAACACTGCTCTTGAGCATGGCAGCCTTGGTGTCCCCACCATGTCCCCATGTTCTCTTGCTTTGTCCCCTCACTGCTTCCTCCAGCAGCAGGGCTGGGGTGCTCTGCTTACTTTTGCCTTTTTTTTGCTTACTTTTATCTGCAGGAAGATGAAGGATGGCAGTGAGTGGGACAATTTCAGCTGAAATGCTGGTCAGGACTTCCAGGCAGGATCCTGCAGGAGAGGAACCAGAGGCAGAAGCTCCTGGTGCCACCTACAGCAGCCCCCAGCAGAGTCTGATGGCAGCAGGAGTGGTGCTCTGCTCCTTCCAGGGATGCTGTGAACAGCACTGGCAAATCTCCTGCCATCCCACCAGCTCTGGAACATGTTTCATCCTGACTTGGAGGGCTCTGGAGGCATAGACTGGCAGATGGATCTCACCCTGTCTTGTCACTGACAGAATAAAATGCATGTGGTGGCAAAACAAACCCCTCAAGGGCAGGGAGACAGGTTCAGACTGGATTAGGAAATCACCATCCCCTTCTTTCCATCGACAGCTTTATCTGAGTCACCTCCTCCAGCACAGCAAGCAGGGTCTGCACAGGATGTGAGGGGGGAATTGCAAGCAAAATGATCATTCCCTTCTCCTCCTTAAGGGAAAAAAGCAGTCAGGGAACCCACCCTCACTCCAGCCAGGTGCAGTGTTGGAGTCTGAGACACAGAGTGTTTCTGATGCCTGGCTCTGAGGTCCAGGAGAACACTGAATTTCATAGAACATGAAATTTATGGGCGTGTTTTTATGGTGTTACATGAAAACAACTGTTAGAAAAGCTAAAAGTGTGAGTGTGTAAATTAGAAACTTTTCTTAAGTCACTGAGTGAAAAAGTTAAAGTTCAGAGTTTAAACCAGTTTAGAAAACACAAGACAAGATGGAGGATTTAGGGTGTTGTCTCTTTTCCTTCTTCTTTCTTCTTCTAGAGGTTTTTGGGTAATAGTGAGTGATTGACTAGAAAATGTCACAGTGCAGCACACAGGTGATGGGTCATTGGGTCATTAAGAAAAATAATTTAGATGCCTGTTGTTAATTAGGTAAGAATAAGTAAAAAATAAAAAGGCTACACAGCTCAGGGCCATTTTGTGCCTTCAAAGCCAAAGTGAGCCAAAAAGGGCAGGATGAATTGAACTTGTGCAGAAAGTCTGGAAAAGTCTGCCAGGTTTTGTGATAGCATCCTAATAAACACGAGAAACGAGATCCTAATGAGTTTTGAGGTTTTCTTCCTCTTGGTCCTTCACTGCTGATATCAGGCAGGGAATCTGAGAAAATTGCATTCTCTTTTGTGCATTCTTGATCTTCCCTGGTTTGGATTTCTCTTTCAGGACTGTAATGGAAGTTAAATATCAGATATCTGTTCCTCATGCAGAAATCTTGTTAGGAGGCACAAAATTTCCTCTCTGGTACCTTTTTCTCTGACATATTTTACCTCTGTGCTGACATAAACCTCAGAGCAGCGAGGAGGAAACCATGAGGGGAAATGCATGAGAAGAGGAGAAAATGCAATCCATTTTTTGAGCCATTCAGATGGAGACTTTTTCAACTGCTGTTGATGGAATCTGGTTGTGGAATGTGGGAAAAGGAGAGAGAGGGAGAGATCTGAAATATCTGTGGTGGTTTGTAAGTGGGGAGAGAAGCTGATTCCCTCACAGGCTGTGCTGAGGATGGGGAGGCAGCTGAGGGAGGGGAAAGCATGTTGTGGTTTGAAATTCCACCTGGAGCTTTTTAGCCTCATTGCTACCCAGAGGAATGAGCAGCTTGTTTCTAATCAAAGCTGCCATTCTCCAGGGCAGAAAGGCTTTGTGCCTGTTCACACAGCTGCTGCTGGCCTGGCAAAGGCACTCCCACAGCTCCTGGGACAGGCCATGAGCAGGGAACAGAACACCTGGCTCTCCTCATCACCCCCAGAGATGAATCACCAGCAAGTTGTCAAGCTTTTCTTCCTCTTTTCCTTTTAAGTCATTAAAATCAAGCAGAAATTCACATGCAACTTGTCTCACCTTGCAGCAAAGTTACTCTGTCTTTACTCATCTCATCCTCTGTTCTGCGTTGAACCTCAGCCACTTAGTCATGCCTAAAATTCCACTTCTGTAACCATGATGTAAAACACCCCTGTGTCAGAGCACCAGGAGGATAACAGCAATATCTAAATCTACCCCTCTTCCCTTTCTCCTGTCTCTAACCACTAGACAATGCTCCTTCCAGACCTGGTAAAAATTTGTCAGAGTCTGTGCAGCTCCTTGGGCTGGAAGAAGTGACACAGGATGTGGGAACAGAAACTCAGAGAGCCCAAGGCTGGCTTCAGGGCAGAGAAAACCCAAATATCCCAATGGTCATGGGATGTCCTTTCTCCTGCAGAGACCTTTCCCTTGCTGGGGAGAGAACAAAACACTTGGTAAGTTCAAATGGAATTTCAATAATTTATTTTTATTTAAAAAAATGCTAAGTACAGCCCAAGAGCTATTAAAAAAAAATCACAGAATGGTTTGGCCTAAAGATAGCTCCAACAACAACAACCCCTGCTTGTGGCAGGGACCAGATTGCTCAAAGTCCCATCCCACCAGGCCTTCAACACTTCCAGGGACGGGGCAGCCACAGCTTCTCTGGACTCAGGGCCTCATCACCCTCACAGGGAGGAATTTCTACCCAATCAATGTGAACCTGCATCCTTTCAGTTTAAAGCCATTCCCCTTTCTCCTGTCCCTCCATGCTCTCTTTCCCAGCCCCGATTTTGGGAAAAACACCCCAAAATTTGGGGGAAAAAACCCCAATTGAGTCCCTCCCCAGCTCTCTGGGAGCCCCTTCAGGCACTGGAAGGTGCTCTGAGGTCTCTCTGGAAACTTCTCCAGGCTGAATAACCCCAGCTCTCTCATCCTGAGAGAGCCTAATGTCAGCACTAAATACTCATTGAGTATTTAACAGTAACAATTAGCAAACATTTCTTTAAATGGAAGGCTAATTAGACTTGATTAAAGTCGGTGTGGCACAAGCAACCTGGAATTGGATGGTCCTGTCATGACCTGGCTCCCAATCTTAAACCTGAAAATCTCTAAAAACCTTAAAATCTCTGAAAACCTTAAACCTCAAATCTCTGAAAACTTTAATCTCTGAAAACCTTGAACCTGAAATCTCTGAAACACACAGGTCTGTGGTGCCTTTGGCAGGTGAGGACAGATCTCATCCCCTTGAGAGCTCGTCCTGCCCCAGAGCAGCCACAGCCCGCGTGGGTCACTGTGTGCTGACCTGGAGAAGATTTTGGGATCCTCCCAGCCCTTCCAACACCGTGCCAGCAGACAGAGGAGCTGCAGGGAAGGTTTCCTGTGAGCTGGAATGCCCTGCCTCACCCCAGTGAAGAAGGGAAGCACGGGATGTGCTCAGCTAGTTTGGCTACAGGGACAGCTGTACGGCTTCCCACTCCCCTCTTGGATGTCCCATCAGGAGAACAACACAGCCCAAAGAGCAATCAGAAGAGGACAGCAGTTTCCAGCCTTTCTTGGAAAGGTTTGGATTGAGCAGCTCCATCCCTGGGCTGTGCAGTTTTACCCTCTGACACGTGCAGGGGTGAGGTTGGTGAGACAAAGTCAAGCCAGAAGTTCTGGATGCTGAATGTGAGATATCAGGCAGTGTCTGTGGGAAACTGAGTCACACAACCCTCTCCCTCTGGCCTGAGAAATCATGAGGAGGAATCCAAACAGTCCTTGGAGAAGGAAAACAACCTTTGCAGGTGTTGTTTGTTCCTTTTTGTTTGCTTGTCAGAAACAGCCCAGGGGTGTTGTTCCAGCTGCCCAGTGATGGTGATGGGTTGGTTTCATGAGCAATGAGAGGCTGTCTAGAAAAGAAGATCAGGAAGAATAAAACTTGCTCTCTTGTGCAACTGGAGAGTCTGTGTGGTCACTTTGCTGTTCCCAATACAGTGTGACAAGAAGATCCCTAAACTTCATCCTTCTGAGGTATTTTCCACCCTGAGAAATGCAGTGGAAACATCAGCCATGGTTGTGTGAACAGGGCTGCAGTTTTCCCCTCACACTGGCCACAGCAGCAGCCAGACCACTGAGAGGTTTCAAAAAAACAAACTCTGAAGCAGACAACACAAACCACAGGCCACCAAGCTGAGAGCAGCACCAGGGAGAAGGAAACAAATGCTGCAGGCTGCTGAGGAGCAGCAGCAGAGCTGCAGGAAGGCAGGAGCACGGCACAGGTGAGGATGGACCGCAGCTGCAGCCTCGGTGTCCTGCCTGGTGGCAGTGGCAGCCCCAGGGTTGGGGCTCCGTGGGGCAGACACCAGGATGAACAGATAGGGTTTGGGGTTTTTGAACACCACTTTGATTCTTTGCCCTTCAGCCCATTCTGTGAGAAGTTTCTGGGGCCAGAGGTCGCACAGGTGGTGCCTTTGGGGACAGCAGCACTTCTGCTCAGCCACAAGCACCCAGCTCCACTCTAAACTTTGCCTTGAGATCAGCCCCTTCCTGATGGCCAAAGCGGGCTTGGGCTGCTCTGTCTGTGCTGCCCACACCACACCTTCCCCACCCCCACATCCCCGTGTTTCCATGCTGGAGCTCCAAAGCCTCACAGAAAGGGCCCTGTGCCAAGCAGGCAGCAAAGAGGGATGAGGATCCCGGGTTTCTCCACGCTGCTGGAGAAGGAATGAGGCTCTGACTCCTCATCACAGAGGCCTTGCAGTGCTCTGGTTGCACCAAATGAGGAGAGGACAGCACCACTCACTAGAAAAATATATATTTACCATCTGTGTTCTGCTCAGGAGAGAACTCATGGCCAGGGGCCCGGCCGGAGCCATGCGTGGTGCCAGCATGTCACCACCTGCAGCAGGAAAGCGGTGGCAGACCAGGCCTCCATGGAGAAGCCTCATGTGCTGAAAGGGCAGGAGCAGGGCTCGAGATGCTGCTTTCAGCTGCAGCCCCACTGCCCTGCTCTGCTGTGCTGCTTGCATTGCACCAGCAGAGCCTGTGGCCACCCCACCTCCCCCAGGGGTTGCTTCTGGGACACCCCTCAGGGCACTGCTGCTCCTGGCGTGTTCCTGCCCATCCTGGCAGCTGGGATGAGTCCAATCAAGTGGTTGGGGAGCGTTTTCTGGGATGGGAACGCTCCATAACTTGAGCACAAAATGAACGCGGCACCTCTCCCAGCAGGGCTGTGACGCCACGGGGAGCAGCAGGTCCATCTTCTCAGGCAGCGAGTAGTGAGTTCCAGCAGGCTCTTCAGCACGCCAAATCTCGAGTTTGTTGGGGGATTTTGGAAGGAGAACTCGTGCAATTCTGCTCAGGCTGATGCAGCACAGCCCTGGTGTTCTCCAAGCCTTTATGAGTTGCTTGAATCCCCTCATGCTGAAGCCCAAATGTGATTTCTGGGTGGCTTTTGTGGTGTCCCCGTGCCCAGGCAGCACTCAGCCCTCACAGTGTGTGTGTGTGTGTGTGTGTGTGTGTGAAGGGGCTGCCAGCCACACTCCATTTCAAAGCTTAAACAAACCAAAGAAAGTCTTGGATTCCTCAAAATTAACCAGGGCGATTTTGGAGACGTTGACGTGCAGACTGTCCATCTTCCTGAGCTTGAAGAGAGCCCCCAGGTAGCTGTTGCGGGCCCACATCCTCTTCCCCGTGCAGAAATTGGTGGCTTTGTCCTCCATGAGCACCAGGCTGCCGGGAGAGGATGGATTCCTCTTGTAGACGACGTGGGACAGGAGCTGGCTGTCGCAGGCGCTGCCGCGGAACAGCACCTTGGAGTACACGAAGTACAGCCCGGGCTCGCTCACCACCAGCCCCCGCTGCTGGTACTGGATGCCGCTGGTGTAGGCATGGCCAGAGATGGGCTCCCACTCCAGAGGGAGGTCCTGCTGGGCTGGGTTGCCTGGAAGGAGAAAGAAGAGCGAAAAGGAAGGGTGGTAAGGACGTTGTTGTGGTTTCTCCTCAGGTGGCACCAGGCCAGGCGTGGAAAATCCTCGCCGGCCTCACGCCTCAGCAGCCCCCAAAAACCTCAGCGAGGAGCAGAGGTGAGGGGGAGGGTTTTATCTGTTTCCAGATAGAATTTCCAGGGTCAGAGCAGAGGTGTGGGCTGAGGAGAGCAGGGAAGCCTGTCCTGATAACTCCAGCCCTTCCCCTTGCCCATCCCAGCCACGTACCTGTCAGATGTGCCGCCCTCCTCGCCTCCTTCTGCACAGGCTGCTCCTTCTGCCCTGCACGAGGAGAGGGAAGGCATTGGCCACCTGCTCCAGGGAGAAATCAGCCCAGAGAGCAGGGGGACCCTGCTGAGACCCTGCACAGCATCCTCGGGCCAGGCTGGAGCTGGGAAAGCTCTGCCTTCCCTGGGGGGCTGAGTTCCCTTTGGAGAGATGGGCCAGCTCCAGTGACTCCATTTTTTATCCCACTCCATCCCTTCACTTTTCCTCAGCCTCTACTTCATGTTGTATAATTTTAGAAGTAGCCCATCCTTTTCTAGAGGAGCCTTTTCCTTCTCTCAGTTAAAATATTCCTCTCTGCTCCCCCTTCTCCTTTACACTGTTTCTCTCCTTCTATTTATTTATCCAGCCCTCTCAGGAAATTCAGGTTTATTATTTATGTTCAGCTTCTGCTAAAGAAGCCTGTGATCAGAGAACTGAGCATCCAGTTCAAATGGAAGCTCCCCTTCCCCTAAAGGGGAAAATTAATTGGTGCATTCATGAGAACCAGGACTGCCCTTTCCCAAGAATTTTGCTATTTCAGCTTTTTTTTTTTGATTCAGAAAAAAAATTTGAAACTAAATTTTCTAATAACTAAAATTCTCTATGGGGGGAAGAAAAATAAAACTTTTCAGATGTAGGAAAAAGCTATCAAGAGGACCAAAAAGGACATCCTCACTTATAATATTAAGATGGAATGCCAAAGAAAAGCAATAGCTTGGAAGTTCAAAACACAATTTTGAAATTGTTCCATTCAAATTGAAACTTTTTTTTTTGTTGTTGTTTTTAAAATTTATTTCGTTTTTCTCCCAAATAAAATCTAGGAAAAGCAGCAGGTTCTTGTGGACAAGTTTCCATTTCACTGGGTTCCTCCTGCAGGCACAGACTCACCCGTGAGTTTCTGGGAGGCTGGAGGGATGTGCTCAGCGCTGGCAGACTGTCGAGAGAGAAGAGGAACACTTAGACTGAGAGCATGAGCTCTCAGAAAAGCACAGGGAGCAGAAATATCCGGATAAATCAGCCACGGACCGAGCAGTCCCTCACCTCTGTCACCCCCTTCCCTTGTCACCACCACCCTGCCCTTTTGGGGGGGCAGCTCAGACCATTCCAAGCGTTTCTTTTTCCCTCCTTCCTTCCTTCCCCAGGGATCTGTGCCCATCCCTCACCTCTCTGAGTTCATCCACTTCCTTCTCCAGGTGAAAAATCTTAAATATGCTCAGCCCCACTCCGGTGAAGGCCACCAGGATCAGCAGGAACATCACGAGGAAGCCGGCGCTCCTCCTTTCCCCGTCGTTCCGTGGCTTCCTCCTCCGGTCGGGTACCGGCGGTGGGAAGGGAGCCCCGGGGGGAGCCGAAGCATCAGCACAGCCTTCCACCCAAAAGATCTGCGGGTAGCAGTTCGGGTTGGGGATGGGCGGGACGTGCCTGCTGGGATCATCCTTGTGGTACCCGAAAGCTGCCGGGCTCGGCGCAGCCCCAACCCCGGGGGCAGCTCTGCCCCGGTACGGCTGCATCCCCGCGGGGATGCTGCGGCTCCGGGAGCGCCCGGCTGGGATGCTCTGGAATCACCCGGCTGGGATGCTGCTGCTCTGAAATCACCCGGCTGGGATGCTCTGGAATCACCCGGCTGGGATGCTGCTGCTCTGAAATCACCCGGCTGGGATGCTCTGAAATCAATCACCCAGCTGGGATGCTCTGAAATCAATCACCCGGCTGGGATGCTCTGAAATCAATCACCCGGCTGGGATGCTGCCAAAATCACCCGGCTGGGATGCTCTGGAATCACCCGGCTGGGGTGCTCTGAAATCAATCACCCGGCTGGGATGCTCTGAAATCACCCGGCTGGGATGCTCTGGAATCACCCGGCTGGGATGCTGCCAAAATCACCCTGCTGGGATGCTGCTGCTCTGGAATCACCCCGCTGGGATGCTCTGAAATCACCCGGCTGGGATGCTGCTGCTCTGAAATCTCCCCGCTGGGATGCTGCTGCTCTGAAATCACCCGGCTGGGATGCTGCTGCTCTGAAATCTCCCCGCTGGGATGCTGCTGCTCCGAAAGCCTCAAGCATCAGCAGCAAAGCCCCTTCCGGCCCTGCTGGGGCTCGGGACACCCGCGCTCCTCCCACAAGCGCCCAGGCTGCTGCTTCCCCGCGAAATCTGTCGAAGAGAAGGAACAGAAGGAAGGAGAAACTCTCCGGAGTCCCACACTGCAAGGGAGAGATGCAGCCCAGGAGTTCTCCCCAGCAGGAGGATGCAGAACCGGCCCCGAGGGGGATGCGGGGGAATCGCTCCGTTCTTTGGGCATCCCACCCTTGCTTTGGCAGCTCTGCAGGGCGTGGAAAAAAAAAGTAAAGTAAAAGCGAAAGCTTCAGTGAGAAGAGGAAGAGCCTGAGCAAAGCTGCCCCCGGCAGAGCCAGCTCAGGGATCTGCTCTCCTGCCTTCCAAGGAAAAACTCGGAATCCAGACCATGCTGCGAGGGCCAGCACTTGTGAGAGATCATTACAATATCTTAATGAAAAGAGAAATTCCATTCCCATTTCTCAGTTTCCATTCCTCCTTTATTGCAGATTTCTATGGGAAACAGTGAGATTTTCCCCACAGATTTACAGGTGTGCACAGGTGATTATAAACATTTTTTTCTTGCACTTTACAGCCCTGTGCTGAAGCGTGCACTTGTATGGGGCAGTGTTAAAAAAAAGGAGATGCTTAACACAAGAGCAAAGTGGAGATTTGTCTCCCGTGGCTGAAGGAAGCAATCACAACACACAGGCTTTGAACATCAAAAGTGGGGTCTGAAAAGGGCACATTTGAAAAACCTTTACAAAGCCAGAGGGTCACACGATGGCTTTGCCTGGGGAGGATCCACTTCCACATTTTGCTGACACTGTGTTAATGCCAACAGCTTACTGAGGTGGGATTGAGGAGAGAGTAGCAGTTTCCCTTAAATGTCAAAAGTGTTCTTACTCCACACCCACTGCTTCCCACTCTCACAAAGATGCTTTTTTAAAGGGTGGGTGAGAGGGAGGGACAGGGAAACCAACTGAAGCCATTTCAGCTGCACCTTCTTTTTTTAATGCCCAGATCAAGAGCCTGCAATACCCCATGTGGTGGCACACCAAAGATTGGGGTTATTTTACCATCAAAAGATGCTTAGTGCACGACATCCTTCCAGGGACCTCCCCTGCTGTCACTCTCCATTTTCCTGTGTCTTTTTGACACTGACTGGAAGATGATGCAGGGCTGTGTCTGCACAGCACATCAGGATCACAGAGCCACAGGATGGCTGAGGGTGGGAGAGAACTCTGGAGATCCTCTAGTCCAAAAAAAGAAAAAGCAGGTTCTGCTGCTCAAATGGCACAGGACATTAACAGGATTACTGAAATAATTTGCTGTAATTTAGACAAGGCTGAGCCCTCTTAACATGTGGGGCAAGGACAGCTGGGCAGGAGAACAAGGCATAAGGAGGGGTGTGAGATTTGCCTCCACCACCCTCTCCCCCTCTTGAACCTGCCTGTACACCCTGTTGCCAGCAGCCCTATCATGTCCTTTGAACAGGAAGGAATATTTTCCAGTGGAAACACATTCCACAGCCCTCATCAGAGAGTTGTTCCCCCTTTACCAAACCAACAGAAAACATTACAGAGACTGCAGAAGAGGATTTGCTCAGAAGAACCCTCTCCATCCCCCATTCACCCACAGAGGAGAGGTGGGAGCTCTTATTAACAAGACACAATTATGCTAAAGCTGATGGCAGAGAATCCAGTTTGGATTTGGGGACAGAAAGATGACCTGCCTGAAACAGCCAAAAAAACAAGCAGGACTTGAACAATGATCCAGATCTAATACTTGACAGAAAAGAAACCCTGAAACTCAGAACAAAAAGTGAAGTGTGAAGCTCTGTGTAGGAGAGACCCTTGCAGTGTTTTGGACAGAGTCTGTCTGGAATCAATTAACAAATATTTCCTATTGCACTAATGACTAGTGGAAATGTTAAAAAGCAACTCTTGAAAGCCAACAGGGCTGTGGGAGTTACACCCAAGAGCAACTGAGAAAGTTGCTCAAACTTGGCTCATTCGCCTTCAAAAACACAGGATTCAAAATCATGAGGACAGAGAATTGAATCAGAAGGAAACGAGGCAAGAAACCAAGAGTGCAGATCAAGCTCTTTGGGTAGAAAACTGTGCTAGAAAACAAAATCAGTCTTTAGCTGAGGCTCTTCAGCTGGACACGAGCTTCCAGCAGGGAAAGCCCACAGGCTCCCCTGAGAGCTCACACACAGCTACAAACACTGCTGGAAATCACTTTACAAGTCTTTGTTCAACTCCAGAGAGGAAGGTGAACTACAACTGAACTTCTGGAAGAAGTTGCAGGAACTGTTGGACAGAAAGGAGGTTCAAATCTGTCTGTTCAAGAGCAGATTGGCAGGGAGGGATGGACAGTGTGTGGAAAACTTGTGAAGAGAGGGATGATTTCCAGCAGAAATTAATTAAAGAGCTCTTTAATCTCACAGAATAAAATGCTTCCCAGGGAGCCACGAATTGTGAGCCAAATCTGAAGGAGTTTGAACCAAAAGTTGGATTTTTGACAGAGCACTTGGATGGATGCTTGAGAGAGCTGCCTCCAAAGGGAGAAGACTCTGAAGCCTCAGAGGGGTGTGGAAGGCACCAGAACCCACCCAGCCTCTGCAGTTAGCACCATCTTCACATCATTTTCTTTATCACATCTTTATTAACAGTCAGGTTTCTCAAATAAGGGAGATGCTTTTCATTTCCTCAACAACTGCTCTCCTTGCTCAGAGCACTTGTTGCACACGTAAAGCCATGGCAAGGACATTCAGATATTCACACTCAGGAAGAGATTTTAAAATCAACTGGCTCTAGAGTGCTTAACACATCCCTCTCCTTCTCCCTGATTCCAAGGAGCAGCCAGCACAGCCCTGAATTCAGCAAATGAGGGCTCTATCCTGAGGTGAGAGAGAATCCAAGGAGCCAAAGCAGATGAGGAAAAGAGGAGTGATTAAAATATTGCTCTGCTGCTTTTGTGCCTGTGCAAAGTTCAGGGAAATGAGGTAGGGTGGTTCTGAGGAACAGAGCAGCAACAAGGAGCTGTAGTCTAGCGAGAGAACAAGGAGCTGTGCAGCTGTGAGGAGGAGCAAGAGAACGTGCAGGTGTCCAGTTCCTGTCCCCCCTGTGCTGAAGGGAGGTCAGGACATCCCCAAACCCTTCTGCAGGGTCTGTGCCCTGCCCCAGCCTCTGGGCACAAAGCCAGCCCTGGCAAGCTCCAGTTGGCTCTGCTGGACAGTTTTATTTCTTCTTGGGAGCAGCCAGTCTCAGCCCATTCCAAATTCTGACTGTCATTACAGGTCACAAAAGCTGCCCCCAGTTATTTTTCTGGGAAAAGAGAAATAGCAGGCAGGGATTGCTGTTTGCTGTGAGCTCACAGAGAGCCCTGCAGCTGGATGGAGGCTCCAACCACATCAAACAAGGGAGAAAAACAAACCCCAAGGTGGCAAACGTTTCTTTTCCATCTCCAGGTCCGCAAGGGGCAGAGTTCAGCTCCTCTCCGTGGCCTCCCAAAAGCTGCCCTGCTGTGTGGGAGCTCCTGGTGGCTCCCACAGAAAGCCCAGCCCCTGTTTCAGTACCAGCAGCAAGGCAGCAGAAGCCTCCTGGGAAGCTTCTTACAAATCTATTCTGCTTAAAATTAGAGAAGGGGTAAGAAAGGTGAGTTTCAGCACATCTTCCTGAGCTAAGCTTTTATCTGTCACAAAGCCCAGCTGCAGCAGCTGCTGCTGTTGGACACTCAGGGTTTCCAGATGAGACACCCTGGGTGTCACAGCACTCTGTGGGCAGGGCTCTCCACTCGACTGTTCCAAACCAAGTGGAACATGTTGGTGGTTAATTAAACAGAACCTGCTAAGCTCTTCCACCTCGTGCTAAGGTGGCAGAAGCCACACACCACCCTTAGGTTTGGGTTTTCTGCTTACATCACCACACAGAATCTGGCAGAATCTGTGTATTTAGAAAAGCCTGGATTTCCACTGGTATTTAATGTATATAACCTAAACACTTTGCTTTGGCAAACAGCAATTCACTTACACAAGGTCTGTGTTTGAAACCTTCACATTTAAGGTATTTTTGACCTTGGGAAGGACACCATCCTCACTCCAGCACACACACACACACTGGCTTCTGGCTGTTTTACACCAACAGCTGTCCAACTAAGACTGTCACAGAAGAATCTGAGATGTATGAACTGTCTTCATTAGAAACTATTAGCCCTGCACAAAGTCTATGACCAATTTAAGAGACTCAATTCCAAAGAAACAAATTTTAAAAGCCAGACTGTGTGACATTAACAAAACTGAAAGTAAAATATGACTCAAGAGCCCACATAAAAGGAAAAGATTAGGCAATAATAACCTGATGGGTAAGAAAAATCTTTTTTTAAAAAGTGGTTACAGATAACTAAAAGAAGGGAGGCAGCAGCAGGTGGAAGCTGTGGTTCAATCTCCAATCTCTTACCACTGGCCCTGTAGGTTTCTTCAGATGCTTTATTCCTATGGCACAGTTCTCATGTGTTCATTACAGGACAAGCTTCAGCACTGGTGTTTTTCCACAGAATGCATCAACTCCTTAATCCTAAATCAGGCCCTGTTTTTAAAATTTATAGAGAGAGAGGGGCTGTTTAGAGAATTCAGTCAGGTGAAAAGCCCAGTGGTTGTCTGGGCAATGAAGGTACACATGCTTCTAATGAGTGATGTATCAAGAAGAAGGAGTAAATAAAGTAAAACTGTAAATAAAAGAAACCCATGCTTCACCCCTCCCCCAAAACACCCAACACTCTCCTCCCTCAGCAAACTCCACATTCAGTTCTATTTTGAAATCCCAGTGCTGTGATAAAGCAGTCTTGAGCCACTCAAGTGAAAACTCCGTGCTGGGGAGGGCTCCTGTCACAAGCAGATGCTGGTC